AGTTCAGATGCAAAAGCCTCTAAGTGCCATCTGAAATTTTCTTCTGAAATTAGCATTTTTCTCAGGCTGCTATATTTGTGTTAATTTATTTCACTTTAATGGCAATGAAAAGAACCTATTCATTGCCACTAAAGTGAAATGACATCTTCATGACATTCTCTTTAGTTATGAGATGCAGCTGGGACACAAATAAGGACACTGCAAAAACAGATTTAAGGCAACAGGATTTAAAGTTTATCATAAATTCCAATATTATAATTCACACATAATTCAAATCTTTTAGAAAACAAAAGTGTTTAAAAATAAACCTACAAATAACCTTGAATAGGTCATGATAATCGCGTAATATAAATACTACAGAAATGTTTCTCCAACATACATTGAAGACATGCAACTCCTAAGAAAACACAGTTAAGGACATTCACACAGACCAGAAGGCACCCTTTCATTCATGTTTGTGCAAGATTCACCATATAGAAAACATTCAAGAATGAATGACGCATGACACAGATCAGACATACGCACATTACTATTCTCACACATGCGCACACACAAACGCAGACATTATAATTCCTCCTTAGTGCTTTTCTGTAGTCCCTCTGTGTGTTTGTCGTTCAGCAACCACTTGTTAAACACCGCAACAGGGTCTATGTTCCAATGTTTGTGAAAGGAAATGGGGGTCTGGTGGGCCAAAAACTCCTTTGCGTAATCTTCTGGACGAGCCTGAGATGGAATAAAAAAATGAAACACAGGAGGAGATATGATTAGTGTTATCTAATGAAACTACTACTGTTACTAACTTTCTGTTATTTGGTACATTAAAAGAAAACATCTCTGGAAAAGAACATCTCCCCACACACTGGTAAAATGATGTGAGGTTTGATTGAACTCAAATGGGTCTTATAAAAGTAGTGGAAGTCGGTGTTAAATAAAAGTTTGGTTGTACAGCACTGCTTAAGACCTTCAGTGACACAACCTCTCTGCTAGCATAAATTACTTGGAAAGATAAACGTTTGATATACAGAGCATATCAAGACTGCTTCTTACAAAGTAATGAAGAAGATGAGTTTAGAAATGACACACAAAGCGATATTATATGCAATTATTTCTTTTCCAGAAATAACTCAGAATGAACATGTCTGGATAACTTTCTTACCATCTAAAAAGATCAGCACTTTTAATTATTAATGGAGTTCAGGAAATATACAGAAACCTGTATCATCTGTACTAAAATGTATTAAAATTTGATAATCCTTTTTTAAAAAATGCACAAAATTCATTGCTCACACAAATGCGTAGTTTAAAAAGCAGACATGGTATGTTGGTTTAAGATGAAAGTAACTGATTTAAGCTTGCTTGGTCTTTTAGCAGGTCTCCCAGCTTGACCAGCTAAGACCAGCCAAAAAGTGGCTTAAAAAACCACTTTAAAACCAGCCTGGGAGACCAGCCAAAGCAGCCAACCATCTTAGGCTGGTGTCAGCTGTTTTTTCAGCTTAAATACACCATATATCTCATTGAATAAAAGTTTTTACCCCCTCAATGAAAGTCTATGGGATTTTTGGTGGTTTTGATAGTCTGGTTTTTGAAAAACCATAAGCCGGATCAGTTAGAAAAGATATAGCAACTAACTTCAGACCAGTCTGAAGGTCTGACCCGAGTTTGGTGGTATAGCTAGAAGAAGAAGATTAGTAAATTGGCTTTTTCAAGCCAACTTAATAATAATAATAATAATAATAATGTCAACAGTGTGTGGGTAGGAAAAATATATATTTTTTAAATAGTTACACTTTTGGGGACAAAAATGCTGAAAAAAAAACATTCTAAAAAGCTGGGTAACTTTGAAAATAAATACATTTAAAAATACTTCTACTACTACTACTACTAATAATAATATTGAATTCAAATGAATTATTAACATTATTAATATTTATTTTATTGTAGCAATAAAAAATACAAAATAACAATTTAGCTATGCAACAGTGAGTAGTTAGGAAAACTACTAATTACTTTAATATATGAATTAAAAAAATTTTTAAAGTAAAAAAAGAAGTAAATTTTTTTGTATTAAAAAAAAAAGCTTTATTTTAATGGTTCTAGGGTCAGGTTTAGCCTATAGCAATTATAGTTAGCTAAATCTAAAATAAAAGTCCATGATATATCCTCATTTAGATTAGGTAAAAAGTGTGTGTGTGTGTGTGTGTGTGTGTGTGTGTACCTGATGGAAGAGGGGACTGTGTGTGACAGGAACTCGTAGAGCATTGAGACACATTCCCAAAACCATGTCATCAGGAGCATCATTACTGTAGCACTTACAGCCGCTCGCTAACAGCTGGACCACTGCCTCTCGACTGAACACCATCCTGTACGAGACACAAACCAGCAACACTGGATACTTGACTTCTCCAATGCAGGACGTCCAAAAACATGTCATGCACAAATTGAATAGATCTTTATTGAGCACTGTGATAGGAAATATTGGTTTGTCATCAGGGGCGCAACTGCACATTTGCCGAGGGGTATGCAAGTTCAGTGTCGGCGCCTCGCTGTATTCTAGTAGCCTCTAACTTGTGCAGAAAACTATCTGCAAGTCAATGGCCAAAAGCCCATTACTAGCTTGTGCATGGAAGGATACAAACTCATCAGGAGTGAAAAAAGTCAAGTTAAAAGAAGTTCACTCCCATCTTCTTGCATGTTTTACCTATTCCACTGCCCGCGTCGCATCTTTGTCAACACAAAAGCGCATTCTGTGTGAATGGCGCTTAGCCTATAGGCAGGGGCGCAACTGCACATTTGCCGAGGGGTAAGCAAGATCAGTGTCGGCGCCCCC